GTTGTAAACCTCAACATCTGGCAATAAACCCATTCTGATTCTGATTCTGATTCTGATTATACATGGTTATGCTGAGGATGTGTCGGCCAGTTTCCACTGGAAATGCTTTTTGGTTAAACTGTCAGCGAGGAATTTGCATTTGCACAGTTACATTTTTATAAAACTTTAATGCAACAAACAGCTGCTTGTTTAAGTGAAAATACATTGATGGGTTTTTTTTGCACTAATAAGGTTGTGGAGTTGTAAAGAATTTTGTCTAGTGTCAATTATATCGTCACTTATATCGTTAGCACAAATTTTCAAATGTATATCGTGATAAATATTTTTGGCCATATTTCCCTGCCCTAACAAACGCCTGTTCCTATCATCACCATTCGAACCTTTAGTGGCAAAAAAGGTGTTTTGAGTCCTTCATCAAACCATCTGTTTAACAAACTGCGACACGACGAAAAGAGAACTTTGGAGCTGCTCCATCCACAGTATCTACAGTAAGACTAAGACTACATTATTAATGACCAACTGTTGACATACCATGTTTAAATTAGGCTGCTTCCTGAGGACAGCTGGTTCACTGTTCTATCACATAATACCTGCAACAAGCAGGGGTTCATCTAAAGGGGGGGTGGGGTGTCCTTGACTAGCATATGTAACATCATTTTTCAGATTTAAAGTGAAACAAAAAAAAAGGTCCACAGGCCAGTAAAACTGAGCTAAAGACCTGAAGCTGTTGGGTTTCACACTGAATTATTACTACCTTTAATTATTAACATCTACAACATCACCATCATGTCTGTTTTCAGGAGCACAAAACTGCATCAAATCACAGGACAAACTGTTCTGTTGTTCTATGTTCTGTGTCAGTGCAGCCTCCACTTGCTCTTTTGAATACTTACACATACTAATTCACTCATTCACTAGTTTGACTTCACACCAAGCACACATTGCCTCAGCTTGGAGATATCAGAACTCTTTTTGCCTCTTACTTTTAATACAAACCTCCACCCAAAAAAAGACAGTGTGCAAATTATTTTATTTTATGCAAGTTTACCTCGTTTTATTTGACTTCACTGTATTTGAGATTTTTCAAATGTATTTTTACATTTAAGGAAGTCTTTTCTTAAAACCTTTTAAAAATTTGCCAAATATTCTTAGCCAGTGCAAATTAATCAGCAAAATGCAATAAATACATTATTGTAATTATGAACTAGGATAGACTGGGGTTTGCTGTCACACTTTTTACTAGGGGTGCAACGATACTCGTATCGATATTGAACCGTTCGATACAGTGCTTTCGGTTCGGTATCAAACAATGCAAAATTTTTAATTTATTTTATCAACTTTCCTTCTGACGATGCTGTCTGTGTTGAGCGCTCAGTGGATCTGCGCTCGACTACTCCGCCTAGGCTGCACTGTCGAGCGCAGATCCACTGAGCGCAGGGCAAGCTAGCAAGACAGAAGCTAAGCTAGTTGCAACATGTCAAATTGAGCCTCCCCCACCCTCATTCAGATCTGGCGTTTGGAACTATTTTGGTCTTCATGTGACGTATGACCCTGAAGGTAAGCGAGTCATGGACTAAAGTAAAACAGTATGTTGGATGTGCCACGCAATGCTCAATTACATGGGTGGGAGCTAGTGCGTTAACGTGTTGGCCGTCCAGCCCCACGCACGGGGCGATCCGCGGTAGCTCGTTAACGGAGATTTGCCGTGTTGTGGCGTTAACGTCATTTCAGATTAACGCTGACAGCACTAGTGGGAACACAACGAATATGACTGCACATTTACGCCGACATCATCCTAGTGCAAAGACAAAAACAACAAGCATGCTACAAACTTTACCCGAGTCATTTAGACAGCCGTTAGCACAGGATTCTCCTTATGGGGACCTGATATGTTTAATGTGCTGCTGAGAATATAGCCCAGAAGAAGCGTATAGTATAGCTTTTATTTTGAAAGAGCCATTTCTCTGTAATAAACTCTCTTTTCCAAAGATGAGTGATTCCTCCATCAGATAGTTTTTTTTTTTTATTACTTTTTTGTTTCAGCAACATTAAATTTAAAAACTGTACTTTTGAGTTAAAATATATATTTATAATTTTAATAAATGAAAAATTAAAAAGGCATTAACATTTTTTTTGTATCGAAAAAATATCGAACCGTGACACCAAAGTATCGAACCGAACCGTGAATTTTGTGTATCGTTGCACCCCTACTTTTTACTCTTGCATGAAACGCTTGTCATTGAAACATCTTTTAATAACCACTAATTCATTCAATTGAAGCTTCAGGTGCTGATTAAATATTGGTATCATATTCATTTTTGATAAGATAAGATAAGATAACCTTTATTAGTCCCACACGTGGGAAATTTGTTTTGTCACAGCAGGAAGTGGACAGTGCAAAAGTTATGACGCAAAAATTAGAATACAATTAACTGTAACAAAAAAGTAATCAACCATCAACTACCCTGTGACAGTTTGGGACTACCCTATATGTCCCTGTAGTTGTCAGCTGGATTTCAGTAAAAATTGTTACTTTTTTCACATCTTCATGTATAACTTCTTTAGTTCAGATACAGATATTAGTTTAGGCACCAGCTCTAAACTAAACTGTTGTATTTAAACCATGAATTTGAACCAATGATGATTATGGTGAATTATTCTATGTATGAGCAGTGAAATAAAGGAACCTGCAGTGCTTTTTAACGTAGCCCTTATAAAGGACATATTTAACTCAGTGACAGTAATTTGAACTGATTTATCATTGATACGATTAAAAAGCCCAGACATATATTCTAAATATATATATTCTAAGTATATATTCTAAAACACAAGTCTTTTTGTGCAAGATTTTCCAACAGATATAACAATAGTGAGCAAGTCAAGGAAAACACGTGAGAACAAAAATGAATTAATAAATTGCATTAATATCAAAGTTGACTCTGAACTGCTCTTCATCTCGATGCTTACTCGATCGTGCAGGTGAAGAAACCTTCTTTACATTTACAGGTTGCTAGTGTTGATCTAGCAACACAGAGAATCTGATCCAGAATCTCAGTTTCTTCCTTTTTTATTGTTCAGAAACATCCGGAGATCCCCAGATGACCTAGAGAAAACCTAACCTAGCCATCACATGGCTTTAGCTTGCTAATGAAAAACTGATTCAAATCAAAACTATTACCTTCAGTTTTCTAAAGTTGTTTTTAATTACTAAGACTGGCTGAGCCTTTAATACTAAAACAACAATATGGAAAATTATTCTGACACATGAACATCATAAATTACCTCCTCCCCTCAACAGCCCATGGACCTTAATGGGCGTTGACTGTTGGTTCTGAGTTTTTGTAGGTTCCTGTTTGATCTTGGGTTTGCGAAGCAAATTAATTTCTAGTCCTTCAGTATAACTAACTTTGCTTCTAGTTCTCAGGTCTGAATTAAATTTTGTGTCAGCTTTCTCCCTGTCTCTGTGTTTCTTTCCTCTAGTCTCTGTCTAGCGTAGAGGTTTTTATCAAGCCTGTGGGTCTTACTCTCAATTTTCGGATTTTCATTTGGTTCAGCTGTGTTAGGTTTGCTTACACCTGTCTCATCAGTTACATTCTGTTCATCTGTGTCTCATTTTGTTGCCAGGCGTTTCCTTTAAAGTGATATCCTTCTGTTGTCAGAGTGAGATGTTATTGACATACTGTCTCTGTCATACAGCCCAATAAAGGGTTCCCCTGTTCAACTCCACCTGCCTCTCTGTGTACGTATTTTGGATCATCCTTCACCGCACTAACATTTCCATATATTGACCAAAGCTAAACGAACATCTCAGATGTTTAATATCAACAAAATTCCTCACTGAACTGTAATGATTCATTAACAACCCACGTGATAAACAACCCAGTGCACCCCACAGAGGGGGCACACCCCACAGGGGCAATGCAAAAGTGACTACTTTAAAGTTACTCATGTCACATGTCTAAAGCTTGCAGCTGACATTATGATATGAGATTGTGTCTCTACTAATGATTAGGGGACTACCCAGATATGAGTATTACACACACACACACACACACACACACACACATATATACACACATATATACATATATACATACATACACACATATATTATATACATACATATACAATATATAATAATAAAAATATATACATATAATAATATATATATATATATATATATATATATATTATATATATATATATATATACATACATGCAGTCTGAGATACACAATCCCAGTAAGATCCAGCTGTTGCCATGCGCGTAAAAACGCTTGAACTGCTGCATACATTGAAAGCTCTCAGCTTGTCGTTTCTCCCGTTTGATTTAACTGAATATTCCAAACCCATCTTTACCCAACTTTACGCTGCCTGGTTTTTGCAAACGAATAACCGTGCAATAGATCCATCAGTGAGATATTAGCATAAGTCGACGCACACCAGACTCAGCAGCGGTTATTTACTAATTATTTGAACTTTAATACTGATAGACGACAGCTACCGCCATCCGAGGTGCGTGTACCCAGAAAAGATCGCAGCAAATTGCGGGTTTAGCCGGAATAAAGTTGAAATTATGCAAAAAAATAAACAGCTTCTCGCTATTTTCTCGAAAGCCGAATGAATGTGTGGTGTCGCTACTCTTGAATGGCGTGCGAATGAACTTTAATGCGCAAAGCTGCCCAGATAATTACAAGAATAAACATTAAAGTCTATTTTTTTAATGGCGTCTGGCACGACGTTCCTTGTGAAAATATCACGCATCACCCTACCTGAACTGCCTACACCAATTCAAAGCTTTCATAATCGAATTGTAAGATAAGACTACAAGCACACAGGCGGTTTTATATAACATCACACAGTAATCATACATTAAAAAAAGAAACATTTCTTTTCCATGCAAACATTGATGAAAGCAGCGGCCTTGACTGAGGACGGGTAGTCCGCACGTAACACAGCGGAGACGGACACAGGAGCAACAGGCGACACAAGTCTGCTCACCTGCAGTCAGTCATCGGCTGTAGAAACTGCTGGAGCGGAAAGTCCGGATCGCATGAAGCTGATTACAGGCTGAGAGCGCAGTCTCTGCTCTGCTGCCCGCTCACGCGTGTACAAATCGCTGTGTGAATTAGCATCTTATACCTTTCAGTATAAAACACTGCACAGGAATGAATGGGGTAAAGGGAGGGGCTGCTGTGTGAAGCTACAGGGTGACACAGGCGGTCCCACTACCGGTCTCACCTTTCAGTATAAAATGTTGATGACCAGGCACTACAGGAGACAGATGAACCATATATTAAAATCACTTTCTCTGTAACCCATTGAATGTTTTCATTGCCATATTTTTACATTCTTAAATGTTTTGTCTTTACAAAATTCATTTATTTGAGCAGGCTGCTATATTCAAGATTACTATTGTTTGGACTGTGTCACATTTGGAGATTGTCCTATTTGTTCTTGTGTTTGTTTTTCATTTTGATGTTCCAGTTGCACTTTTATCAGTAGCTTCAGTTCCAGAAAGTATTTCACAAGTACAGTAATCCCAGGTACTATGCCATGATTTTTCTGTCACGTCTTCACAGTAACAGTGAAACAATGGCACCATGAGGAAGTCAGAAAAAACTGTATATAAAAGATGGACAGGCTCTGTCGGGTGAAGGGGAAATGGGTGCGAGTCTGAAAGTCAGAAACTCAGCAGGAAAACAACGCTGTGATTAGTGAAAGCTTGTGTTCCTGGTTTTTCCTGGTTTTTCCTTCCCACTGTCGCCAAAGTGCTTGCTCATTGGGGGTTATTACATTGTTGGGTTTTTCTCTGAAGTGAATATTGTCAGTCTAGAGGTCCACCTCTTGATCCAGACACTTTAATGACTATTAAACTGACTGCCAGGACTTCTCCAGGCATTAAAGGTTCCCAGGAGATAAGTGCTTATCAGCTGCCTTTGTCAAACACTTTAAGCATTGCAACAGCTAAGCTAACCTAAGTATTATAACATTGAACCATCGCAGCCGTCGTCCTACAATTTCAGTCAGTTCACACCACTTCCAATAAATATAGTGAGATTAGAGTGAGGAGGAAAGAATTGTATTCACTTTGACTTTCACATTTGACTTGAAAAAAAGTGACAAAAGCATTCCAACTGATTGAGGGGAAAGCATGAAGACAGAAAGGTTTCCTTAAACCTGAGAGGTTTGGGCTCACGTGTGTTTGATGTCTGATGATGAGCTATTATTTTGATGGCAGACGTAGCTGCTTTCCTGGCACTGATATGGTTAACAGCAGCAACTTGATGCAGCTGAAATGTTCACCATGTAAAGGCCAAATGAAATGAATAGAAAGTCGTGATTTTGCAGACAGGTAAAGGATCTTGCACAGACTACAGATATTTTTTCTATATCTGCATCTATGCAGTTAAACCATAGTCTGTATCAACACCAGCTACAGACTTCGTTTTGATTCATGGAATATGGTAAATATGTAGCACGGTTCTTCTAGAGCACTCGCCTTAACACGTCATTCATGCACACACGTTTACATGCAAGTGCTTTCTAACATTCATATTCCAATGAACACATCAGGAACAACTTGAGGTATCTCGGCCAAGGATCATTTGGCACACAGACTGGAGCACATCTGCACATTTTCTGTCCATTTGACTGCATTCTTTTAAAATCAAGATGGTGACTTACAGAACTAAAGTTCCACTGATTATGTTAATTTGTTGCATCTTTTGTGCCTTTCCTAGTTAGCTTGATTATCTTGAGATTTAAAAAAATCTGATACTGCAAATATAGTGGGGAGAACCAAATGACCTTGGTGCATGTTCGATCATCCAGGTAAGTAAATCCCAGAAAGGTTGATTCTGTTCATCTGGACGTTTTCAGTGGGAGAAACATTTCATCACTCATCCAAGTGACTCCTTCAGTCTCAGCTGACTGCAGGTTTCCCCCATCTTATAAACAGGACATTTGCACAATGAGTTCAGCCATTGTCAGAAGGTGAATGGGCATCTCAGGAGGTAATAATGAAGAGAGTCAACCACCCACCACACATTTTCCAGAGTGTTGTAGTGGGTCTTACACTCTAATCCGGTCGTTAAGTGATGACGTGACGAATCCTACTTCCGGGTCTAAAGTAGTCTGCGTTTAATATGGCTTTTGTGTTGTTAACATGTTTAATGTTATGTATTTTCTTCTATTTGATCTCAAAAAGCTCCTAAAACAGTCAGTGATCACTGTTGACCTCCCTCGGCTTTTATTACCGCTAATCATTTATTTAAGCTCAGTTTTTAAAACCTTAGGATGTAACTACAGCCCAGCCCATGCAGCAGTATATGAATGACTAACCTCGTATTGTGGATGGATTATCTCAGTTGTTCTCCTGGCTGAAGTTTGGTCCTTTTACAGCATCCTGCCATGCGATTACATTTGTTCCTGACTACCGAGAACACTCACGTTAACTTTTATCGAGTGGAAAAAAAGTTAGCTTGTTTATATTATGCTAACATAGCTGTGTCGCTAGCGGTCACGTAGCACATCATTATATACAGCTAGCCAACTTCAGTAACCCTACAAACGTCACTGCTGTTTAGTTTTCTGTCTTCATTTATGCTGGAAGTGATAACAGAGCTGTACGTTTGAATTTGTTTCCAAAACCCCGCAGTCAGGACATGCTATATTGTATTTAGATAGAAGCTAGCGAGCTAACTCCCTGCTAACTTCTAACTCCGTTAAATGTCATAAATTCCGTTTTCATGGATGCCTGGATGTTAAACTCAATTGTTACACCTGGTAGAGCAGAACGCTGATCATTTTATTAAAGATGAAAGACTTTAGACAGTTTTTCAACTCTCAGTAATGCCATAGTGATCGTTTGATATATGGACCTGCAGCGGAGTTTAGGTCCAGACACGGCTAGTGACGTCAGACTTTACGACCGGATAGCTTCCTGTTGAGGCACACGACTGGGCAGTCGCCTGGTAGTACTCTGTCCATTGTACAAGATCTATCGCCCTGTTATACAAAACCCAGTACAAACCTCCGGCAGTAACCAGCCAGCCCCCAAAGGTATCTCTAGCAACCAGTTCCTTCTGAACCGTTTGCCTTTTATGTTCAGGTTATCTATAGGAGCTCACTGTGATGCCTGGGTGCATTTCAACATGGTGATCTTCAAGTATGTAGTGACCAGGCAGGGGAGAGAACACGTGTGCAAAACACATGTTGGAATGCAGCAACATCCGCTCACTGGGCTGGTGTGACATGGTTATCCCAATGAGAGGTACCTGCAGCCCCAGTTCATCTCTAACCTCCACCACACTCACCAGACAAACGGATTCTGCTTTTCTCCATTTTTTAGGAGGTTGAGGTGTATCTGTGTGGCTCCACACCTGTCTAGCGGTACCCCTCCCACTCACCGTGTAACCACAAAAGGTTCTTGTAATTTGGTCAGGTGGTCTGAGATGGACAGAGGAAGCAATGTAATAATAATAATAATGGATTGGATTTATATAGCGCTTTTCAAGGCACCCAAAGCGCTTTACAATTCCACTATTCATTCCCTCTCACATTCACACACTGGTGGAGGCAGCTACGTTGTAGCCACAGCTGCCCTGGGGCAGACTGACAGAAGCGAGGCTGCCATATCGCACCCCTCTGGCCAACACCAGTAGGCAAGTAGGGTAAAGTGTCTTGCCCAAGGACACAACGACCAGGACAGAGAGCCCGGGGATCGAATTGGCGACCTTCCGGTTACAGATGCGATTCCCAACCCCCTGAGCCACGGTCGCCTTATCCTTGTGTAAATTGTCTGAGTTTAGCCCTGCTGTTGTAAAGGCATCACTGACGTTCTTGGGCCTGGAATAAATTCTCTCATGACAACCTCCCCAGCATGTGTAGGTTTGCTGTCAGGTCCTAAAGTTCATGACTTCATATCCATTTGTACAGTTCTTTTAGTGTGTGTGAACGAGGTGCCTGGTCAGTAAGTCTCTCTTTGGGATACTGACTCGAGAGATGACTTAAAACAGCGCCTGCTCCACACTCTTGGCATTTATCAGATGATGGTCCATTAGTTCACAGACTCAAATATAATCACTTCTTAAAAGCAAATCTGATGCAGTTTGAACAAAGCCTGAAGCCTGAATTATTCATGACTGCAATGACTTCCAAACATTTTAGATTTATCAGTTTTGAATCACTGATATACTAATCTGTAAGATAATGATGGTAACTGAGATCAGATACTAATGAAACACAGAGACAGTGCTGCGTATTGAGAGCAAACAAGGTCTGCTTTAAATACACTGCACATGTGTTGGGGATTCTGGCTTGTGGCACTGTGCTTTGAGAAATATTTCCATCTGTGCTATGTGAGAAGCGTCTGTCGAATTTCTCACAGCTTGTAGAGGCTGTGAAAACACCACAATGGTGCTGTTCCAAAAGAACACAGCCTTATAAATATCAACACTTTAAAAAGCCTGTTTCCATCCTAATTAGTTTACTTTTGCTATTGTGATAAAAACCTTCCTGAGAAAATAGAAATCTCGTGGGAACAAAATGAATAAGACAGCTGACATATAGCAGACATGATCTCATGAGGCCAGCTTCTTATCAGTCCTGCTACTCACTATAATCTGTTAGTCAAATTTTCTAGAAAGAAGAAGGTTAGAACATTTCATGGCAGACCAGAGTGGACCACACAAAATGTATTAACTTATCCAGATCTGTCAGATCTGTCAGGAACATCTGGCCAATAAGGAGGATTCTCGTCTAAGTCTTTTGCAGTTACAGCAGCATTATTCTCTCTCCAGCAGCACCATGTAAGCACAAAGGTAGCCTTTTGTGCATGTACTTCAACACCACACATTTATCTGACATTCACACACAATTGCACTATGATGAGGATGAGGGTACAGTGTATTGCCCAAGAATACTTGATGCTCTGCTTTTTGTTGTTTGTTTGTTTTTAATTAATTGTTGAAAAACAAATTGCACATCGAAAGCAAAGTGATTTAATGAGATTTATTGAAGGAAAGTTAAAATCAATATAGCATGAACAGGATTCTGGTCATAATTTTTATGGACAGAATTTCTAGGCGCAGCCAAGTGACTGAAGGCTTTCACTTGGGTGGTCTCAGAATC